CGCGTTAGCTTGAGAAATCCGGCCATTAAGCGGCTACTTTTCGTTTTATCTTCTATCGTAGCACACGGCGGAATGTCAATTGAGGGTGAAAATCACTCTGAAAACTATGATTTCGTACTTTTTTATTCAATCGGCACCTTTATCCTTCCATAACATTTATGCGTACGCGCAAGTGTCGGGCATATTTTCCTCGATTAGCTGACCTGTTGCGTCGCCTAATGAGCCACCACGCCCCGCTTAAATTTGATAAATTATCATCCCAAAGTTTTAACCGCGAGCGTGTTTACCTCTTCAAGTATACACATAATATCCTCGAGCAAATTTGTATTAGAAATACATATTCCACCTACTTTGTAAATTAATGAGCCGATGTAGGATTAATGAGCTTATAAATAAGCCCAGCCGTAAATTTCACCCCCCATGGGTTAATCGTAAAATATTGTGCGATTTTTTAAAAGATGTGATATACCATAGCAATAAATAACACTGCGTCGTTGCAGCTTAATTGCCGTTACAATTAGATATTTTTATGGCCCCAAGTCATTGGAAAAGTTAGGTATTAGATGAATGTATGTTAAAAATAACATCAATGAAACGTGTGGGTGGACTCACCATGATGCCGGTGGACACCGCGATGCCCCGGCCACAGTATGTGTTGGGCACGATGTCGCCGAAGCCGACGCTGAGGAAGGTGATGGCGATTAGCCACATCGAGTTGAGCAGGTTCGCGTGCTCCTCGTCGTGAAACCTAGAGACAAAAAAAAAAACCATCAGTCTCGGTGTACCATCTCTTTCCCCACCCCTTACCGAAAATTACAAAAGGGCGTGTAAAAGAGCGAGATATCGATCTCGGCGACGACCGAGGCCTTTTCGTCAAAAGAAAATCGCCGTTACAGAGACGTCCGACTTATAAATAACACTTGCATATCGATTTATTTTCGTACGCGACCCTCCCCTCCACCATACCATCTCACTCGGTGTTATTTTAAATCGCTTAATTTGTATTAATCACAAAGGTCGTCTCAATCGATTTCGAGTAATGGGTGTATGGTATATATTTTTGCCTTCGAGGTCCCATCGTCGGATTCATCAATCGCTAACTTGGACATGAATTTTTACCCACGAGACAAGCCCGAGTAAAATCAACCCTTATTATTTAACGCGAGGTATAGAAATCCATGGATTTTATTTTAAATTTTCCGATAAATCTCAAAGCTATCCAAATAAAATAATGAAGAACTCGCTCCTTCAACCCCATTAATGTGACATGATCCATTTGATGAGCGCACAATCTCCGACTGACTGATCAATTTCACGGAGGATAGATTGTGTGCGATTGATTCTCGTCGCTCTCGGAGCTCAAAGGAAGCCACACACGGACTAATCGCTACTGCCTGTTCCGGGGGATTATAATTACAACGAATCAACGCGCGTCTTTGACGTTGCGAAGATACAAGCGTGTGTGTATGACAGATTTTCCTCAAATGGTGCAGCGCTTTTGGTCTTGAAGTTTGAAAAAATGAGCTAACCTTTCGCACTGCCTGAGGGTCCACGAGGCAATGATCCACAGCGAGACCATGAGCACGAGCAGCACAGTGCCCGGGCAAATGGTCATGAGCGTCTTGAGCACGAAGCGCGTGTTGAAGTTGATGCGGTTGAGCGCCCCGATGCTCCTCGACGAGGCTGTATATAATTTGTAATTTATAAAATGCATAATAGTACGGATTGTACGTGGGGCTTTGCTCACCATCGGTGAAGAGTTTCGAGTGGAGCAGCATGACCCGACAGATGAGGTACAGCCGTAGAAACATGGGTAGCGACAGGGGCACGTCGTAGGGTACCCACCTGCTGCCGATGTCGCCGCCCTTGTTGGCCAACTTGGTCGTCCAAAGGAAGTAATATTCACCGGGTATCGGGTGCACGGCGCATATGACGATCTCGACGGTTATCTGGAGTATCCGCTGCCAGGTCATTGCGATGCGCCAATCGTCGGCGCAGTTGTCGATCATGAATAACTGAAACGCGCCCGCCAGGTGCGCCTATCTGGTTAATGTTGCCGGGTGTTGCTTTTAACGGCACGCGGGGACCAAGCGAGGCGTATGTACACGGGAAATCGCTCATTTCGTCGTGGGGGCAACTAGCTCTATGTGGGTGTGTGTGTGTTTTTTTTTTTTTTTTTTTTTTCTGTGCGTGTGGCTTTGTGCGTACATGTACACTACTACACCGTGTTTTTTTTTTTTTTCCTCTGTACGGGGAATCTATGACTAAAACTAGGTCTATCCTTTTTTTTCCAAGTCTATGGCTTTCTATATCATTCGTTTGTAATTATTGCGTCACACTCTTTCGTTCTTCACAGAAAACCAAATTAAAAAAAAAAAAAAAAAAAAAAAAAAAAAAAAAAAAAAAAAAACTGTGCGTCATGTGTAGCAAAACTCGTGTACACGAAAAATCGGTGATAAATTTCGGGTAAAACTCCAGTGTACACAATAAAAAACGGATATATGCTCGGCCGCGAAAGGTGTAATCGCCGGGTACGTGAAGCTTGTTTGTCGCGCAAAAAACCGTGCATCAACATTAAAATGTGCAACGAAGGACGATCGATCGTCGACGCTCGCTCTGTCGGCTTTTTCTACGTATCATAGATCATATCGCGATGACGCGCGTTTTCATAGGGAGACTCCGGAGGGAGTAAGGAAAATGAAAATACGTCGGGGCAACGAGCTCCTTTGCTCCTTCCTCGCGTTCTTTTGTACAACCCACTTCCACTTCCCGTTTTTTTTTTCGCGGCTCCCATTGTGCTCGCCTCGGGACGTTCCAATTAGGTTTTCAGTGCGGAAGAGAAATATGGCGCGTGGCTCGCGGTAAGTGCGCTCCGGGCCGGGATTTTACGGGTTTCCGCGATTACGGGTCGCAAGGACAATAACGGCTCCGGTTGTTTACGCGTTTTGCCGAACGTTACGATGAATCATCCTCCATCTTCACTCGGGGGGGGGGGACAAGGACACCGTCTTTAATTAGAAGCGTTTTTTTCCATTCAACGTATGCAATCGTTTTTAATTTTACAAGGCGAATCGCGTCAAGGGATGATTTTAGGGAGCATTGAAAAAACGCAGTGCATTTCTCGGGTTTTTTTTTCTTCCACCGTGAAAAGAAGAAGAAGAAAAAAAAAAGGATACTCTTCTACGGACTTTGTGGCAAAACTCAGCACGCCTCGGGAGTAGATACGTACGAGGGAGTCAGCCGAGCTATCGCGACTGGAACTCACAACTAGCTCGCAGAGTAAAAAGAAAAAACCACCCCCATCACCCCCATCCTTCCGTAAGAAGAAGAACACACTTTCGTCGTATATATATATATATATATATATATATATATATATATATATATATGTACGTGCAGCTGTGGGAGCAGCTTTGAGCTCTTCCTTTGCTTCTATGTGTGTGAGATATAGATACAGGAAAAAAAGGTAATAGCTAGGGGATGGGAGAATGAGTGGAAATTGGCTGGTAGAGGAGATTTTCTGTCGCCGGCCTCGGGAGTGACCGAATTAAAACCGTAACGGGCCTCTTGAAACTTTCATCCTCTCGAGGAGGGACAAGATTTATCTTTCCGTCCCTTTGTTCGAGTTTCTTTGTTTTTATTTTATTTTTTTCCCTCCTCTCCCACTCCCCTTTTTTCTCTTTGGGGTTTGCTGCAACGTCGATTTCCACGAGGGCAGGAGCCAACTTGCACCGCGTAATTACGTGGTATTTCTCTCTCTCTCTCTCTTACTCTCACTCTCTTTCTTCCCTTTCATTTTTTTATGTAATGCACCACACTTATTTTTTTTATTTGTTTGTACGATTAGTCGAGTACTACATATAGGACCCTCGAGTCCTTACTGGTAATGATACAAAATTCAAACTCGACTCAACTCTTTTTTGGAAGGGATGGCTTTTTTGCCCATTACCCTGAATTAGCGGCTGATGTTTCTATGACTTTTTTTCACGGCCCTTCGTTATTTCGTTGACGCGAGCGACCCACGTTTTTCGTAATGAAAAAAGCATCGATTTTCCAGAGTCGACGTCCGAATTTTCGGAAAAGCTGTTTTTGCGTTCGCCTCACCAGCAGATCTGACGTTTCGCCGATGACGAACGACGAGCGATAAAACGTCGTCGCCGTCAGATACACTCAGTCACCGTCGTTGCATTGAAGCCTCGACGTCGCCGCTCCGACGAGCACGTATGCGATCAATTTTACCCAGAAAAAAAAGCAAAAAAAAAAAAAAGCCGATCACGATGCAAAACGCGCGCACAAAAGCAGATCGACCCCCACGACGAGCACGAATATAATATAATACTATCGAGCGCCTCGCAGCGAAGCTTTTGGGCAAGGCTCCCCCCCCCCCGTCTTTGAGACTCTTGGCCTTGCCGTCGTCGACTCCGGTAATTCTCCGATAGAACACGTTTCGTCCGAGCCACCCCCACACGCGAGTACCTACATGCACCAATTAACAACTGCGAGCTTCAAAACAGTGCAATATCCCCTTGGCAATTCAATTTTTTTTTTTTTCTTTACTTTCGTATTCGCGTCGCAATTCATTTTCGGCTTATCGCGGGTAGTGCACCTACGTGCTCGCGCCGTTCGACCGAGCGAAGGAAGGGGTGCGATTGATTTTATACTGCGGAGACGGCGGAGTTGGGGCTAGAACTCGATTAGGGACCCCCGAGGTGGTGGCACGAGTCATACACAAATTGAAAATCAAGCCACGGGCGCCCTGCGTAACTCACCCGGTGCTTGCTTTGAATTACACCGACCTTGAAACTGATAATATTATTCCGGGCGACTAGCGCTTGGAGAAACTTTGGGATCGAGTCTTCGTCTCTCGGAGGATGGAAATTAGGCGATACTTTGGTCGGGAGCTTATAGAAAAACAACCGAACGTGTAACGTATATAACTTACTTTGCGCGAAGTGTAATTTCAAAGTTTTAGAATTTGGAGAAAAGAACTTTTCGTCGCGCCGATCCGTCTTTTCATGAATTTCAAAAAGCCCCTCCGGGTAATCTCGCAGCGTCAAAAATCTCGCCTTCGAATAAGTATATAAAATTTTTTCCTTTTTTTCCATCACCCCATCACAGTTCAAAAAAAACAAATTTTGTGTATTTTTACCTTGAACTGATATTAATAAATACTCAAAATTAGTGTATAGTAATATAATTAGCATAGGGTTGAATTACGCAAAACCTGTGCAGTCAGATTTTAAACAGCAGATTTAAAATTAAAGATTTCCCCTCAAGACCATTGAGGCTAAAATACCTTTGAATCCAGTGTGGTTCCCCTCCGCGCGTATTTCCAAGGGAAAAAAACACCCTATGGAATTGCGCGTGGCACTAACGTTTCTGGGTCGCTCTTCAGAATACCTCAAATTCATCGAGATTTACAATTCTTTTTCCGCTCGGCCCTTGCCGTGGATTAAAATTTTCATCCGTTGGATTTATGCATTTTTCGACGTCAAAGGAAACTCGGTACAAAGAAGAATTTTTCAACAAAAAAAGGAAAAAAAAAAAAAGGTTGATCAAATTGCTACGCGGTGCGCGAAATTCTTTCAAATTACAGGATGATACGAGAGTTCAAAAAAGCATCACAATAAACCCGAAAACGTAAATTACGTACCGGCACCCCTTGAAATAGCAAACGAGTCCGCACTGCGCGATACATCGGAGATACCGATCGATACCTCCTTAGCGCTCTTCAGTGCCCCTTTTTTTCTCCACGTGGACCTTGATCGAATTAAGAAAAAAAAAAAAAAAAAAAAAAAAAAACAATCGAAGGTCACTTCGAGACTCCCTCGGCTTATATACCATACAATAGCTATTTTACATCGGACTACCCTGCAAAATGGTCCTCTGTTTTCCCACGCACCTTCTCCCTCGGGTAATACATCTTGCGGGAGTGCATACGCGCGCTTCCAGATTATTTTTCAAATTTCCCCACTCGAGCGGAAAATTTTCATATCCCAGGAGCAACTCCGTTATGGAATAAATAATAGCACCCCCGCCACCCGAGTGTATACACAGCGCGTAACTGTCGGCGTTCAATTTTGAACGAGGCACCTCGTGTTTTTCCTTACTGGGGTCACGGCTGGGTGCTCTTGTTCTCCCTTCCCCCTTTTTTTTTTTTTTTTTTTTTTCACAGAACTGCAATGTCATTAACACCCCACGTTTGCCTCGGTTCTTCGCGCTGTTGTACATACGGATGTGCACAATCGGGCGAGGAAAAGATTTCCGTCGACCAAGCACTTTTCACGATACGTGTGTACACTCAACTGTCCCTGGGTCTTGTTGCGCTGTCGCTTGAATTTTCATCCCAACGGCAGTTTTTTGAGAAACGATCGCCGATCGTTAAAAGGTGTATTCGCGAACGCGTGAGGGGTTGCATATATATATTTGTACAAACGAGCGAGCGAGCGTCGTGCAATCAATCGTGTGACCATATGGTATGATGTATACGTTTATTCCCCGTGTTGTTTTACGCTAATGTGTTTATCTTTTATTTTGGTAATCTATCATTGAAATTGCATTGCTGAGATCACATTGCACACATACGTGTATGTATAGTGACCCAACAGAATCTAAGTCATGCAAAAAAAAACAACGAGCTAACAATCACAGTTGACGTAATCGTTTTGATAAAGAGGTATATATATATATGCGCCTTTTAGGAGAACGCAGGTTGACTAACCTGAACTTCCAAAGCGTGGTAAGCGAATATGAGGCCAAGGAGTATCACAGTTGACACGGAGATCAGAGTTTTGAGAGCAGTCGAGTAGAAAGAGGCCTGGAATCAAGAAAACAGATTTTTTTTTTTTTTTGCTTATTGTAAAATACATTCTTGGTATCCTGTGAAAATACGCGTCTCGCAGCCATGGACACGCT